GATCCGTCTGACGCAAAAAAAGTCGATTTTTCAACTCTCTCAATATGCACATTTTCAATCGATATCTTTAAGCTCTCAAGAGCATTACTTAACGGCATGTCAGCAAATACACATATTACGTTAATATAAGAAAAAATTGTTCGTATACAAAAAAAAAAAAGTAAAATGGTCAGTTCACTGATATCTTCTCTGCCAAGGACTTCCAATAGAAAATATTTTAATATGTCAATAGCTTTTTCTCTTGCCTTGTTCATATGTATGCATTAATTCAATGTATTGTTTATTTGAATTATGATTATTCAAAAGAAACTGACTAACTCATTTCATCATTTATTTTGTCGTAATAGACTTGTTTGTTGAAGTTATCCATTATTCAATTTAAAAGCAAACATAAGTAAGAGCATAAGAATATACTTACAAAACTAACTAAAGAAAAATGAAGCCAAAAATGAATTGACTAAAAATGAGCCCAATGAAATTATATTTGATAACTGTTCAATCGGAGTTTTTTTTCGAATATCTAGCGAATAATCTTGAATTCTTATTAATCTTCTCTCTTGTATCTATTATATTGTTCATTGTGAAAAACCAGCTTATTATAAACTTTGTTAAAAAGAAAGGCATTGAAGAAAGCAATTTTTATGGTAGATGATGACATATGTTAAATAAATTTTAGTATTCATTCATATTATTTGTTTTTCAACTTTATATGCTAGATGTAAATGAATATATTTTTTTATTTATATGGTTCATTTAATTTTGATAACAAATAATAGAAGACAAATTATCAAATTTCCATTTTTGTTTTCAGTGGCAATATTTTTTTTGTTGAATCTTTTATTTACTGTTGTTTATGATTTCTTCTCAAAGTTTCTCTTTTTGTTTTATAATAAAAGAAAAGCAAAAAAGAACAATCATCGGATATCAATACGCGAACAACGATTTAACATTATAAGTGTAGGCTGAAGATAGTATTCATGATTTTTATATCTTCGAAAATGCTCGTAAATTGTTCTTAAGTTGATAAGAATAAAGAAAAAAAAATGCTCCTATATATATATATTCTTGTTTTTTATATTGGTATGCAATTTGAAGAAATATATTGACAATGCATTTTTCTCTGCAGTACGTTTACTTCTTGTTTTAGTGATTGTCTATGTGAAGAATAGAATAGTGTATCGTTCGTTTTTATAGCTTTTGAAGTTTTCAAGTGCCATTTTATTGTCCACAACATGATAAGCAGAACAACCTACGACATAATATATTGACGCAAGGTCATGTACGCTTACGAGCTCACTCGTATACAACTCAATCATAGACGAGAACCAGTAATTTTAAAAAAGAAGAAATGCTTTTCTCCTCTTCTTTTTTCATTCTCATGTTGAGTTCATTGATCGCCATCTCACAGACTAGGTTTTCTCTTACTCTATTTTTCCCTCTGTATAATTTTCTTTTCGTTTGAGATTTTCCAAGTCTTTTTATTGCTTTTTCATTGTTTTCTTCTCATTTATATGCAAATGTATGTTGTAGCTGTTCGTACATACTTTCAGTTTTTTTTTCACTATTATTCAATCGATTATTGATGTATAATTATCAATGATTTTTATTTGTTATTAGACTATGAACTTACAATATAGAAGTCCTTCGATAGAATTACGACCAACTAGTAGTTGGTTATTATGTTTTATTACAATTGCAATCTTAACTTCTATTGTAAAAGGTAATCATATAATGAATGAAAAAAAACACATAGGTATATAGTAAACGGCCATAAACTTTCGAATTATTGTGGATTCATATTGATTTGTTTGATTGAATCAACCTTTTATTATTTTTTTCTTGGAAACTCTAACCACCAAACACAAGGATTTTGATTGGCAGTTTCTATTTTATATGCATACATATGAAAATTAGCGTTCAGTGGATATTGTTTTTTTTTCTAGAGCTACATATAAATAAATGAAATTTTTGTAAATGATGATTTTTATTCTTATTTTTCTATAATAATTGACATAACCTATGTTATAGAAGGTTTCATCCAAACAAAATGAGCTTATGAACTAACTATGACTCTTTCTTAGGTTCACATTCAGTCACTGTGGAATCGACTAATAAGACTAATCAAAGTCTTTATTCTGATTTAACGGGAATAACTCGTGAAATCTCATCTATCAGAAGTAGTGATGATGCTGATAAACATTTTCAATCATCACTCAATAGTTATGAACAAGAACAATTGTTAGAGGAAGGTTATCGTTTGGTTAACTTTGAAGACGTTATTTCATCGTTTCAAACAACCATTCCTGATGAAGGATCTACGGATGGCAGTGGCACGTCTACAGAAGAAAGTAAGTCTTTGTCTAGACAGTTTTTTTTTCTGTCAAAGAAAACTATAAAAGCAATTTTTAATGATAAAATATCAATGCTTAGTCAAAACTAGTGATGTGTATTCAATGTTACTCGTAGAGTACTGTTTTTCTGTCAGCTTTATCTTGAAAATTTTAATTATTTATATTATGGCTTTACCAAACGGGCTTCTTTTTTTACTAAGGATAGAGGCATGTTCACAGTCCAAATCCATACGGACAAGAATAATGAAAACCTTTGTTAAGTATCACTATTGATCTGAACCAGAAAATTTTACTTTTTCACAGATAAGAAAGAAAATAATATACTTAACAAAGCTCTTCGCTAACCTTATCCGTATGGATTTTGAGTGTGAACATGCCTCTATCCTTGGTAAAAAGATCAGCTCGTTTGCTCAAATCTTAAGGGAGATATTCAATTTTTTTTGTCGGGTGCGTGACTTTTGGGCCACCCTCTATAAAGAAAAGCACAGAAGTCAAGAGTATTTATACAATTAAGAAAGTCTCAGCAACAATGAGACAAAATAATGTACAAGAATTCATTGAAATATGATGAATCATCTTATTGTAAAAAATCTCTCTCTTTAAAAAAAACCATTTTTGAACTAAATAAAAGGTGTTCCATAATAGCTGATGATAAATTTTTGATATTTTTCATACATTCTGTTGACGTAGAGGACTGAAATTTTTATCACATATATATCTAATGAAGATCTTTTGTTTCTGAAAGTTTCAACTCTCTAGCTAAAACTAGTGGTGATATGCATCGACAAGATTGAAATACATATATGTTCGTAATGAATATTGCAAGGTAACGGGTGACCCATAATAAATGGTCGCACTTTGCATTGCGTATTTTAATTCCAAAATACGTATTATTAAAAAAACAAAATATACTACGAGATGCAGCATGAAAAGCTCTACGATCTACAATATAAAGCTTTCTTTAATTGTGTACTTTTTGTTTTCAAAAAACCCAAAATTCTCTGTGATCAATTTTGGTCGTTGCAAAGAAAATCATTTTTTCTACACGAACGGGACACCCTTTTTTCTTAGTTTATCTTTTTATCACCCAATATGCTTTCGTAAAAAAAAACAAAAGATGCAACGTGAAAAGCTCTGCAATTTTCACACAGCAGTTTATTTTATGCATGAAATAAGAAAAAAGGAATTTCTCATCCATGTTGAAAAAATAATGCTTTCACAACGGCGAAAATTGGTCGTACATAGTTTTGAAAAGAAAAAGTGCGCAATTAAAATAAGCTCTACTTCCTAGATTGTAGAGCTTTTCACGCTGCATCCTGTGGTATATTCTGTTTTTGTCAAAATGAAACATATTAAGTGATAAAAAGATGAAATAGGAAAAAAGAAATTTCTCGTTCGTGTAGAAAAAAATGATGTTTTCGCAAAGACAAAGAAAGATCTTATAGAATTTTGCATTTTTTGAAAACAAAAAGTGCACAATTAAACAAAGCTTTACATTGTAGATTGTAGAGCTTTTCACGCTGCATCTCGTAATATATTTTGTTTTTTTAATAATACGTATTTTGAAATTAAAATATGCAATGCAAAGTGCGGCCATTTATTATGGGTCACCCATTAGTTCCGTGGGTAGTCAATCAAAAAATCACACAATATTCAGAAAATTTTCTTTTATATCAAACTTTGTAGAGTTTTTTTCCGTTGATCATTTTAGTAAAAAACTTTTCGAATTTCATTGAGAAATGATGATGTTATAAACAATATACTAAACATTGTAAAATGTAAGTAAAAGTCGATTCACATATTTCAAAACGGCTATATTCTGGAGATATGTGACATAATAGATTTTGTAGAGGAAAGTTTGTTTTACAAAACCCTGTAGTCGATTTCTTGGATACAGACGATTAGGAGGAAAAAATCTTGATTGGACATTGTATATGATATTCCTATCAAAAAAGAAAATCTGACATTTTCCGTTTTTTTTGATACATATTTCGACTATAACATCATCATTTCTCAATGAAATTCGAAAAGTTTTTTTACTAAAATGATCAACGGAAAAGAACTCTACAAAGTTTGATATAAAAGAAAATTTTCTGAATATTGTGTGATTTTTTGATTGACTACCCACGGAACTACCTTGCAATATTCATTACGAAAATATATGTATTTCAATCTTGTCGATGCATATCACCACTAGTTTTAGTTAGATAGTTGAAACTTTCAGAAACAAAAGATCTTCATTAGATATATATGCGATAAAAATTTAGGTCCTCTAAGTCAACAAAAAGTATGAAAAATATCATTAACAATTTATCATTAGTTATTATAGGACATCCTTTATGGTTATATTTGAAGTATTTTTCTCTGATTATGTATAGCCACAGCAGTGACAGTGACAAGTACAACACAATCGACAACTACTGTTCATTTAAGTACAAGTGATTTTCAAAGTACGGCCTCGGCAACTTCTACAAGCGAAACAACATCTGAAGGTAATTAAACACTATTGTTTATTTCTTCTTCACAATCTAGTTTCTCATCATCGTATATAGTATCTTCTCAAAACTCAACTTCAACTTCTACCACTACCGAAAAAATAACAACTGAAACTCAATCCTCAATAACAGCAACAACAGAAATGACAACAACAGCAACGACAGATACGACAACAATAGCAACAATAACAACGACAAATACGACAATAATAGCAACAACAACGACAACAGAAATGGCAACAATAACAACGACAAATACGACAGCAATAACAACAATAACAACAACGGCAGCGACGACAATAGCAACAACAGTAAGGCCACAAGGTAATGATAAAAAATTTTAGTTTCATTCTCTAATTTTGTTTCATCCTTTGTAGTCTGTATTTGGACCAGTTGGGTACCAATAACTAATTGTACTCCACAGTGTGGACCAGCATATCGAATAGTAGTTCGATTATGTGTTGACGTTACTACTGGTCAAAGTTGTTCAAATTCTCTTTGCGGAGATGGCAGTGCTGTACAAAATGAAACATGTTCTTCTTCTCCACCTTGTGAAAGTATATATTTCATTATATTCCTATCTATACATATACAATGTCATTCTTATTTTTCTAATCTATTTCAGCAATTAGTGTTATTCCACCAACTACTGATAGAGATCCTAGCATACGAATTATTTCTTATGCATTACCAGATACAATGTATTTTTTTGAACAAACATATCGTCGTATTTGGGTTTGATTATTAAGTTAAGTCAAAATAATCTTTTGTAAATGTTTTCTATTATTTTATAGATATCTAATAAAGGTTACATTACATTCGATACACCTTATTATGCCCGAACAATGACAACTTCTGCCTTTCAACAAATCAATAACCAAGCTATTGCAGCTCCATTCTGGGCAGACATGAGTTATATTTCTGTGAGTAATTTATTTTATCAATGTTTCTGTTTTTTTCTCTAAAATGATATAAAAAACAATCGTTTAGAATTATTCCAATATCATAATTAACTGGTTCAGTTCGACGAATGCTACTGGTAGTGATGCAAGTATTTACAATGATGTGATTCAATCAGTCATCAAATTCGCTTGTCCAACATCATTTTGTTCAACGAATTTTGCAGCAGCAAGAGTTACTCGAATCACTTGGCAAAATCTTTTGTATGAATTTTCTTCTGTTAATAAATCAATAGTAAGTATTAGTCTCAATATCTTTTTACGTATTCAATATTTTTTTATTCATTTTATTTTAAAGAATGTATCATTCTCAGCATATTTGATTAATACATATGAATATGATTCTTCACTCTATAGTTATCCAGTTCTTCGATCTTATATTGTATTCGATTATACCAATCTTCCGAGTGATCTTGGCTATTTTAGACCTTTTGTTGGTATGTTATTCATTCATTTTTGTGTAATTTTATATAAATATCAATCATCTCTTTTCTTACTATTTAGGATATCGTGGAAAAAATTTTCTAGTGCAAATTTTAAATGATCAGTCTTATTATCAAAATGCTTTGTTTCTAAGTATTTCACTTAATTGCTTAAAAAATATTTTTACGTCTAACTTTATAATATTCTTTTAGCACAACGTAGTAAGACATACTTTTATGTTGGTGGTCGTTTCTTAAGTCAATGTGAAGTGAGCTTTTTACAAGAAACAAGAATAAATATATTATATCCTTGGGAGAATCTAAATGATATAAGGTATGAATTAATATTCTATTTTATTTGTACTTTATTTTCATTATATTTAGAATAAATCCTCGATTTCCATGTCCATGTACACTTCGACAAGCACAAATCGATACTCGTTTTGGTCGTTTGTTCAGCGAAACTCAATATGAATTATCTCAAAATATTGTTTGTTATGCACCCAGGACTACTAGTTGGATAAATATAAGTTGGAAATTTCAATTACTCAGGTCACAAGTACGACAATGGATCAATTATAGTACACTAAATGAATAAAAATATATCTCTAATTTTAGACATGTTGTTATCAGAGGTTCAGCCAAGGATTAATTACTTTTGGTAGTCTGGCCGGATCAGTTTTATCAAATCCATATATTCTTTTTCTACCATATCCTTGGCAAAGACGAATCCCATTTTAGTAAATATATTTCTTTTTTGTATTGATTGTATTTATTAGATGATTTTAGTGATCAATGTTGTTCCCCTTCGTATATAACTGGACGTCCAGATTGGGGAACATGTCATTTCTATTTTCAACTTCATCCACCCAGTAGTTGTACAGGATATCGACCTCCAGCTATAGGTAATGTTCCATTTTAGTTCTCCATTGGATATTTGTTTAAAAAAAGAAATTTGGAATATAAATAATAATTGTTTTATTATTATAGTCACTGGTGTTGGTGATCCTCATGTTAATACAATTGATAATGGTCGATATACATGTCACATACAGGGTCTTTTTGTTTTTGCTCAAACGACGCCTGAAGCTAGTGCAACTGCACAAAGTAATTTAAATAACAATGCATCGAATATTGATCTTATATATCCTGATGATTTATTTGAAATTCGTGTTCGTTCTGTATTCGTACCACCAGCGTTGTCTTATATTGAACGAACACATGGTTACGGTTCAATTTTTTCAAGTTACACTATAATTGCTGTCAGCTTTACTTTTGTCATTAGTAATAACAATGGCAAATTTGGTAATAAATATTAAAAAACCTGTAATAAACAAAAATAATTATTCATTTTTTAAGACTTTTCCGTTAACAACAATGCAACACTTACAAATGATTTGTCAAATAACTTTAATTATGATTATATAAATACAATGAATTATACAGAACGATATATTTATCGCGTACAACAAACAACTAGATCTATATTAAATGCTACAATACCTCAGCTGACCATTTCTCTATGGTCTGGTAAGTGATTATATATTTGTCTTCATTTTAGATAAAGATAAAAGAAATATTGTGTTTTTCTTGTTCTTAGGACTTTCTATGCAGTTTGAAATTATTGGCGAAAATCTCGAATGTAAACTAATATTACCAGAGAAATTTCGAACACATATTGAAGGTCTAGTTGGAAATTTCAATGGAAAACCCAATGATGATCTATTCAATCGACAAACAAATCAGATAATACCAATAACAGATTTAGTGAATATAACAGTATCACGGCATGATGAAGATGTTCTTAATGCTTGTTTGTCTTGTAAGTTTCAATGACAAAATAGTAAATCTTTTAAAAGAAAAACTTTTCTTTCAGGGAAGGTACCGAGTGATACAACATCCGACAATAGAATACCTATTATGCCAAGAAGTTTAGTAGAATGGTATTATAAGAATGCATCAAACTTACTTACAAGTTTGAATCCAAGTTTGAATCAAATCGTTGTCAATCGGACATGTCATGACAATTTTGAATGTATTCATGATTATCTCATTCGAATTAATTCTTTTACTAGTGAAGTAACAGCTTTAGGTTTAGAATTAATTCAAGAATCGAGAATTGTTTTAGGTAAAATTTTCATTAAAAAGCAATTCTTATGTGTTCTTTTTTTGTTAATTTAAAATAGCTGAAATACCTCCAACTATCAATTTGACTTTACCCGTTAAAATTATCTCACCAATTGATAATACAAATCGTAATTATTCATTTGAAATTAATATTATGCCTGATAATGGAACAACTATAAAAAGTGCCTATGTCACAATTTATCCATCTAATAGAACACAAAATATCACTAATAATGGTTTGTCTTCTATCACAGTGCTAATGCCCAACAATGTAAATGATTCTGTTGAAGTTTTGTAAGTATTTTCAATTGTCTAAAGCGCTATTTCGAGTTTTATCTATACCTTCATGATGCAACATTATGTATCTATGTATCTTGTCGTTAAATTCGCTCATGGCTAATTGGATAAACGTTTTTTCGTTTTTGAACTCAATCTTACTTTGATAAAATCATAAAAAGAAATATTCACATTATCAGTTTTTTTTGTTCCTTTGGTCTTTTGTAATATTACACTAAATTTTATTGAAGTAAATTTTTCATTCGTCATCACATTCTTTGAAGAATCATACACTAGAAAAAAGAAAAAGATTGACTCTTATATCACTCGGATTCATACATGAATTTATTCATTGTGAATTATCAGATTCTCAATAATGTGAGAACTTTTTCTAGTACGGAACACCCAACAAGAGAGTTTCAATTGTTACTTCCGCAACTAATATTCAAAATATCATCGGTTTGTTTTCATGAAGAACTTAATGTTGCTTTTTTAAATAACGATCATATCTATTTATCATGCCGTCACGAATCAAAAGAAATAACGTGTGTCGAAGACAAGCCAGCAATATCTAACTGTTAATGATATTTATGCTTGATTATTTTTGTAGTTAAATTATAGAAACAAATCGATATGAATGAATATACCTACCAAACCGACATTATGATTGTTGGTCTCTATAATTAAATTAAAAAAACAGCTGCCAAAAAAACTTGAAGCGAAATTAATTCTAATTCGATTCTCTAGTTCACCACAGGTCTAAGAAATAAAACCAAATCTAACAATTACATGATAATTTCATCAGTAGACGTAAAGGAAAAGATTTGATTTGTTTCTTGTTGTTTAGAAGTCTATGAAGGACTTTATAAAACAGTATTGCAACATTGTAATTTTAACGAAATTGCTGATTCTTTTTTACAAAAATATTTCAATATAAAAAAAAAAAGAAAAGATAAAAACATGATTATAATTATAATTTATTCTAGATTGACAATTCAATATGGATCAAATTTTACATTTCAAACATATTTGGATATTCTCGCTTGTTTATGTACCAACAATGGTACATGTAATTTTGAGGAAACAACTACAATATCTGATCATTATCAACTTGCTTCATGTGACTGTCCAGCACAATATGATGGTATACAAAATGAATAGACGTTAAATTTCTTGTTTAAAAAAAAAAGAACTTTTTCTTCATAAGGTATTTTATGTCAGTTGGATTATGATGGCTGTACATCTGGTAGTGCTTGTAAAGTCAATTGGGATAATAAAACAACATGTGTGAGATTGAATGCCACTCAACAACAAGAGCAAAATCGTTCCTATTATTGTGACGGGACATGTGTAAAAGGATATATTCCAGTCGATAATTTTACATGTGAAGGTAAGAATTTATGAAAACTAGAATACTTTGATGTAAAGAAGTCTAATTTCAGATGAAAATGAATGCAGTTTAAATTCATCTTTATGTGGAAATGGCGTATGTATTAATCTTATTGGATCATATACCTGTAACTGTTCGTCTGGTTATCGATTCTATAATGAAACATGTGTTGGTAAATTTTTCTAAATAACAAAAAAATGAAATAAATAGGTCCTCATTTCTTTTCTCTTAAGATATTAATGAATGTACTGAACCGAATATCAATGGTACTTTTATTCGTCGCTGTATTGATGGTGAGATTTGTATCAATACCAATGGAAGTTATACATGTGAATGCAGTCCTGTTTTTAACAGTACTGGAAATTGTACTTGTACGTATAGTTGAAAAATCATGATTACGAATCAATCCCATTGTTAAATATTGTTTTCTTAGACGATCCAAAGCTCTGTAATTTTACTACTAATGAAACCTGCATCGATAGTAACAATATTACCCTATGTGTAAATGAGACTGTCAAAATAAATGGTAGTTGTATTCGTAAGTAGCTTTGATACAATAGATGATTTAATAGATATAACTGATCAAAATGAATAGAAATTTCGGCTTGGTGCAAGTCGACATGTGATGAATTCTGTGAACAAAAAACTAATTCTTATCAATGTAATTGTATGAAATACCCAGGTTTTGATTATTCTGATACTATGAAGGGATGTCTGCGTAAGATATATGTATTTGATATTTCAAATATTTTATTTTCATAATATTTATTTATTTGAAGCATGTCGTGATCAAAATTATGGTTATGGTTGTAAGCAGTCATGTGAATGTGTTCATGGTAAATGTAATCGAAATGCAACACATGTAAATGAAAGCTGTATTTGCGATCCCATATATCAACCACCTCTTTGTATTCAACTTATTGATCAATGTGGTAGGAATATTTCACTTATCATTCGATCTTTAGGTTATGAAGGAAATTTTTTTGTTCTTATCAGCAATCAATAATAGTCCATGTAATAATACAATAGAAGATTGTTCAACAGATCCAAATAGTGGTACAGCGATTTGTACATGTAAACTTGGTTATGAAAAAGACAACACAACTATGTCTTGTACAGGTATGAGAAATCAATAAGTGAGGCTAAGTTTTGACGATTCAATTCATTTATGTATACAGATATCAATGAATGTGCAAAGAATGCAAGTACTTGTAATCCAGAAAGTTCAATTTGTTACAATACTTTTGGAAATTACACTTGTAATTGTAAAGATGGCTATGAGGTTTGTGAAAGTTTTTTATTTTTCACAAATTTTAACAGTTAATAAGTTTTGTTGTATAGTCTATTGTTGGTTCATGTATCGATATCAATGAATGCCTAAATTCTATAAGTTGTGCCAATTATACTAACACATATTGTGTTAATATTGGAGGCCTATATGAATGTCGATGCACCGATGGGTATTCAGTAGGAGGTATGTTCATAAAATGATTCAAATAAATATGTCACATAAACGAAATAATATTTTAAGGTGATAGAACCCAAACATATAAAAATATCTTAAACACACCTGACTCTTGTCTACTAACGGACTATTCATCTGATTGTGAAAATCAATGCATATATCCTGCTGAATGTCGTGCAGCTACTGGTCGATGTGCATGTCCAAACACAATATTTAATTTTATTCTTTTCTCAAGTGCAATCAATCAAACATGTCAATGTCCTGGTCACCCATTTGTCCATTTTACTGGTGAAAAGTGTATTGCAGCAAATGCTAACAGTAAATTGTCTTATTAAATATCCTATCACTAGCGAGAATTCGTGCATACTGCACGGTTATTTGATTTCACCACGAAAGTAAGCGTTTTCTGACAGTGTGGAAATTATCAAAGCTGCAGTAGAGTCCTTACCTCCACGATCTCCACACAAGTTCTTTGTATTGCTAGATAAATGCTTGCAGTTGTAGACTTGGAGTAAGAGTGTTGAATGTAGGTATAGTGTGTGTGTTACCTCATGATTTTCAATACAACTTCAATCTCATCTACCCACATACGAAACTATATGCACACCTACTGTCACTCAACAGCACCCACTCATACACCCTCATCTCCATACCACGTCCCTTCACTCCCGACATCGCTTCACTCATTCCAACATCACACCTACATCCAACATCTTCGCACCTTACACTCACTCACTCTCACTCCACTGCAACCTACACCAGTCCTCACTCACTTATTCTTACTCCAGCACATCCTACACCAATCCTCACACACTCACTATCACTTCACCGTAGCCTACATCAGCCCTCATCCACTGGCTTTCATCCCACTGCATCCTACACCAATCTCCAGCTAATCATTCTCATTTTACAGTATCCTACACCCAACTACACGCTGACATTTAAATCGGCACAGACACACAGGCACTGATTTATATATATATAAGATCATTTTTGTCATTTTTAGATCCGACGTGGTTCATAATTGAAATTGCCAACCGAATAAAACAATCCATTTTTAGCGAATTAGAATTGAACTCTATAGTATGATATATAATATAATATATTATTTATTTCATAATCATTTTGATTTCGAATACTAGATATTAAGAAGTTTAAGTCAAATAAATAGTACCTATAATACAGCGGATGTACAAATAAAGAATACTAGGTAAATACAGTGAAACTTGAAAGATATTATCCATCATTTTATATTACTCAAAGTAGTGTTTTAAAAGATGATACATTTGAACGTTATGTTGGTTTAAATATATCATTGAATGCTACTCAACGTTTGCAGCTTGTCAATGAAATTTATAAAAATATACCTTTAAATACTAGTTATACTTTGACAGTACAAATAATTATAAATCAAAAAAGTGGAAAGATAGGTAAGTTTAATGATAGAACCATTAAATGTTTAATATATATTGATTTTTAATGATATTTCTAGAAAAAATCACCGAAGTACAACCTTCTTGCATGGAGTGTCAATTTATGGAACGTGGCGTTTGCAGTATGACCTCAAATGATACCTGTCGATGTTTTTCTGATTTCGAAGGTTATTTATGTCGGCTTTCGAAGGTAACAATAACACAACCAATCCTACAATCATTGACTCATTCTCAAAAGAGATACAATTTTTGTATCGAGAAAGTAGATAAGAATAGCGAATAGAAATATTTAAGGAAGTTTTGTTCAGATATAGTTCATTATTGATCAAGATTTAACTATTCATTGACTCTTCATATCTCTAAATGGATAGCCGTTTAATCTCAAGCACTTCGCCATGATTTTTAACACTGTTTAATCAATATTTGTAGCTATTTCTTTTTCTTTTTCAATATCTCAAACTGAATAGTTACTTAATCTCAAACACTATTTTACAAATATTCGTAGCTTTTCAGATAGCACTAAGCTATTTAATTATTGTGATTTTTTATGTAAGAAAAGGAGAGGTTGAATATACTTTGATGAATAAGAAAAGAAAATATCATAGAATTGTTCTTTTATTGGAATTGAAAATAGCTGAAATTAAATAGTCAATGCTTTCATTGAATCGGAAGACAATAAGTTTAGAGATGTTTGGAAAATAATGCATTAGTTAGAAATGAATAATATGAAATGAGCACATGAGAAGAAAAGAAAAATAAACAAATAAAGGTTGTACGAAGCATATTTGCTTTTATTTTATTTTTCAATAACAAATGATTAATTTTGAAGTGATTAGTGGTTGTCTTAGAAAAAAAATCTATATTTCTATTATCCAGTGTATAAAACCAATAAATCAATGACATATATTCAAATATAAACTAATACAAATAATCACGAAGAGGTTAAGCCATAATATAATGAGAAAAAATGTAAGAGATATTCAATGATAGTTAAATAAGTCTATCATTACAAAATATTTTAAATACATATTATCAAAAAGGAAAACATCGAGAATATAACATAATAAAATAATAAGACATAAGCAAAAGAAACTGACTAAAAATCATCACACACAAGAAAATGAGCTATTTAAAATTTATCTATGTTTTTTCTTGATTAGTTATTAACTCTTGACAATAGCTAGAGATAGTTTTTTTTAGTAACATTAGCTTTGAATAGTCTATAATATGATGAAGATCAATAAACCAAATATTATTATAAAAGGTGTAACTATTGAAATTATTGAATAACTGTTTACAAATTTTTTGATTAGCTATCAAATTAATTTAAATTGCTAGCTACATGAAGTAGTGCAATAAATGAAAACTTGCTAAAAAGCCATCACCTACTTAAATCATTTAGTAATTGTCTAGTATTTGAAAAATTGTCTTTTTAACAGGCACCACCATCAAGAACTTGGATAATTATTGTTGCTGTTATAAGTGCTGTAGCTGGTCTTCTTCTATTGATTTCTCTCTCCATGTGTATTTTTTATATTATTGGAAAACGTTCTCGTTCAAAAAATAAGTAAGAATTCATTAAAAAAAAAAGAATTTTGAATAAATAATCCGTATTTAAAGAGAAACAAAACAATCAACAGGTAGTAAAAAGCTTACTATTCCTCGAGTTCGTCCTCCAACTATGGGTACTACCAGTAAAAATACAGTTGGTCTTACTGATTCAAGTCGTGCTAAAAATGATGAACAAACTAATGATACATCTGATACAAATTCATCTGATTCAACAACAACTCACAATCCAATTTATCATAGAAATGAAAATTCTCAACATACATCATTAGCACGTGGCTCTATACCACAAAAACAAATGCATGGAATGGCTAATACATTAAATAGTATTCCTCGTGATCCTAAAGATGATTCATCTGGAACAGCTAATTTATTTCCGGATTCACATGATATTAATGAAATTGAATTTACTACTGATTTGTTAGATGATATGATAAAAGATGATGATAATATAGAAGATGATTTTATAGAAGCCATTAATCCAAATATAGTAATACCAAAATGAACTACATAAATAGAAATAAGATCAATCTAAATAATTTTAAGTACGTCAAAAAACAAAATTCAATTTTTCTCTATCTTTAACTACTGTTTATTTCAAAACATAATGTGATTCATTGTTTTTTTGAATAACTTTTGATAGGAATATTTGAAAGACGTGTGATTTTCATCACTGAAGATATTTTTTTTGAAAACGATATACTGAAGCTATTCTTCTTTCAATTGAAACTTTTAATGAAACTACTTGATAGAAAAATTTCTTGTACTTCGATCTACACAAGGCTGACATTGCAAGCTTTCTACATTCGAAATTTAGAGGGCTTTTCCTAAGATTTTCGATTTTCACGAATCGACTTATCATCACTGAGAAAAATTTCAGAAATATTGAGATAACAGAGTCAAATCTTTTTGAAGCAACAAAAAACTACCACCATTTGACTCAGCACGGTGAATTTATCCATGTCATATGGAACAAGATAGAAATCTCAGGTCTGTGTAATTCAAAAAGAAAATAACATCAGAATAGCGTTTTCGAAAGGTTCGATCAAGAGTTCACCTGATTGTTCAATGATTGATCGATCAAAGTACACTATATTTCGATGATCTTGGGTCTTCTACCTGGAATGATAAAAACTACTGGTGTCTATGTGATGTTCCTATGAAAATTAATTAAGAAAACAATGAAGAGAATTACATTTTGAAATAAATAATAGATGTTCTCTTATTTTATTTCAGTTCTTTCGATATTTATCATTTACTTCATATCTTTTTATGAACATACAAACAAAATATAAATATATGTATTTCATTGACATTTTATATACGATGTCGAATATGGTTTCGTTTTTTTTTTTTGTGCTAATTTCATTGAACTGCTGGTACAGTCTACCTATTTTAAATACATATATATCTATTGCTTTAAATGAAATCTTTTTTATAACTTTTTTTTTTTGTTTTCAATTATCTTCTTCATATTTTTATAATCCCGAGTGATTATTTTTATGAACAAGATAGACATTTAATGATGATTTTATTTTGTGAAAAAAATTAATTGATTGATAAGGAAAAATAAAATATAAGAATAGTTTTGTTTTATTGATCTAACTATTTCATCTATTTTTATTTTCTTTCTGATTTTTGTTTTTTTGAAGAAAAATAAAACTAAAATTTATTTGCTCTCTTTTTCTTTCCTTGATAATTTTTATTTTATTTGTTCGTATAAGATAAGACATCAACAGTTGGTTTTATGATAGTAAATATTGATTCAGTTGATATCATAAATAACTTCTATTGGTTTTTTGAAGATTAATTTTCTATGAAATACGAGATAATTTCATAGAAATTTTACTAAATATATTCAACAAATGAAAAATTATCATATTCGACAACGATATTATATATTTATATGTTTTTAATAAACGGGAACAAGCATAACATAAAGCTAGGAAAAAAAATAATTAACCAGAACCATTTGACTAACAAAAGAAAAAAAAATAATAATAAATAAACGAACATTGACACATACATACACACAAACTTAACGTTCATTAAATTAATTTGCTTGTTCAAAGCTTTAATGTTAGATATCATAAATCATATTTTGTTTTATCGGATAGGCGTATACAAAGGAATTATTTTTTTTTTTTGCACACTGTTCGACAGATATACAAAGCAAGATTATTGATTGTGCATTGACACGTATACGATCAAATATAAGAATACAACAAAGAAAATTAGAATAAGAAAAAAAAAAAAAGAAAGAAAGAATAAAAATATTGAGTTTTTTTTATCTGAGTACATCAACAATAAATGGAAATTTTCGTGGACTGCCAAATGCAGTTGATAATGTATCAGTTGATGATGCTATTGTTGTTTGATAATCACCAAAGACAAATCGAAAGCTAAATACAGGAGAAAAATATTCACAAAGAGAATTTCACATATGAACCATTGAAATAAAGCAAATATACAATAGCAACATTTAGACATAGGCAAGCACATTAATTCTAACAACAACAACAACACCAAAAAAAATACATCGAAATAATAAATTAATTTTAGAAAAAATAGTAGAAACAAAAAAACACAAAATAAGAAATGAAAATAGATTATTTCATGGTTTTTATTCTATTTAGATGGTGGTGGTGAAAGCAACGGCATATTTGTTTTGGATGACTTTCGATTATTACCAAAAATACTTTCAATAGAAAGTCGTCTTGGTGATGAACTATTTGATGAAACAGATGCTGAAGGAGATGTTGCGTATGATTGATCAATTTTTATTGTTGATGATATTGGTGTTGTTAATTCAATTGCTGTATTTTGTTCGGATGGCGATGGTTTTTTTGATAATGGCAATAAAGATCGTAAGCTGAAAATAAATAAATAAGACAACAACAAAAAAAAAAAAGCAAAAGCATTTAAAGAATCAATAGCAAAAAAGTGTAAACAAGTTAGAATTGCGTTATGGGTTAAAAAGATTAAGATTGTTAGTAAAGAAATGAATTGATTCTTTTTTTTTTCATCTCTTACACGTTGGTTGCTGATTTTACAGTAACAAAGGACAATCTGTGAAAATAAAACATGCAAATATACTTGAATAATAATTGTACAAAATTTTCTTTACATAAATCATGCATAATAACAAAAACAAATTAATACATGAGCATGCACGACTTGCATTTATTCATGCTCAAAGCTTACCAATATGAAGCAACTGCGAAGCAAGCAATAGTAGGAAAAAATACACAAATTTTTACACTGAAAGAGAATCATAGATACACACGGGTGACAACGAATGTTATGAGACAAATCATATCAAATAAAAAAAGTTATGTGAATACATAAGTTACTAGGGAAAGCAGCTACTATTAGTGTATGATATTAACTTACAATTGTCGAATTTTCGATTCTTCTCGTTTGTAACCATGTAATTTTTCTTCGGGTTCTAATGGAATTGGACCTTCAACAGCTCCATTACCATCATCATCTTCTCTATAAGAATAAGAGAAAAAAATACAAAGAAATTCAAATGTACATCATGTTTTCAAAAATTTATTTTTATAGTCTTAAGTTTATGCTCTGAACTTTTATTTATACGAACAAAATTCAAAAACACTCTTCAAAGTTATTATCTCTAACTGAAATATAAAAATTCAATCGTTTTTCTATACGTCAAAAAACATCATGAAAACGATTCATTTTTAGTTGCTTCTTTATCTTGATTTTATTCATACGTTCATCATCTGCATTTTATCAATAAACCTAATTGCTATATTTAGAATCAAAATGATTCCTATACCACATCAAAGTTGCATTGCACTCACTAATACTTATTGAATTATGTGTTATATTCAACAAAACTAGTGGTTGAAACATTTTTATGATGATCCAAATGATTGACCATCATGATATAACCATCGATTAGCGAAATAATCTTGACATGTTTCAAAGCTATTTATATTTAACTTTATAGAAGGAAAAGAACTACTAGAAAAAGTGATTTTTTTAGCAACATCAAGCATCAGCACATGACTCGAAGATAGTTTGTTTCTTACTAAAAGAAATGCCTCGATTTCATGAATGTCAAGATTACTAAACTTAATATAATTGAATATCTTCATACGAAAATATATGAAAACGAATGCTAATAAAACATCCTTTAAAGATCCGAATGATATAAGAAATCGAAGTACCTAAAAACAAATCTTACTGTATAGTTTTTTTTGCTACACATTGAAAAAACATTGAATTTTTTTATTTCGATTAGATATGATAGCTATGAAAAGTACTCTCGAAATTTACTCTTATAAATAAAACTTCAGGGCACGGATTTATGATTTAAAAAACTGAAGAGGGAATCTTTCCAGACGTCAAATCACTTGTCAACCAAGGCAATAATATTCATTTGATGAAGGTTAGTGAGTAATAGAAAACTTTAGAATGGGTTTGTTTTTCGAGTCTTCATTTTTGAAACATCGAAATTTCACTGAGTTTTTTAACAAAAAGTTGTGATCCCTCTTAGGTCATGTAAGAGTTTCGGCTTTATACTTTGCTTTTACAGATGAAAGAATTTCCAACATTGAATATCTCCATGTAGGCAATACTAGAATAGCTATAACTTTATTCGCACAAAACATCAAGTTAAAATTCTCACGAGACTAGAGGACCACAGGTTTTTGGTGAAAAACCTAGTTAAATTTCAATATTTCAAGGACGAAAGCTTGAAAACGTAAACTATTCTAAACTTTTCTATGATTCATTCGCATTCATCTAAATGAACAACGACTTGGTATTTGAATAGGGCCGATCGGGTCCGGTTCCGAAAATTCTTAGACCCTCGATAGGCTTTATATCTGAAAAAGGTTTCCTTGTTAAATAATGAAATTGAATCCAATAGCAAAGATATACAAAAAATTTTTGTGAAAAGGACTTTTGAGATATGTTGTAAGTATTTCTAATTGTTTTTTTAAATAAAATCTCATTAAATTTTCTTATTAATTACTGGTCTTTAAATATTCTTAATTCTTCTTCAACTTCCATCAATTTTGTTTTTAAATCATTTCGTTCCCATAATACTTGACGTAATTCTTCAAGTGTAAATCTTGGTTGATTGGCTTCTAAATTTGCTAAATCATTGATTGGATTCTTAAAAAAAAACAGTCACAGATTTTTAATGTTATAAAGATTCTGTTTTTTTTTCTCTGATTTATAATCAACATACTATAGATGAAGTCGGACTTGTTAATTCATCACCAACACGATCTTTCATTTGATTAATAAAATTTTCTTTTTCTTTAAGTTTAACTTCTAAATCCAATTTTTCAACCATTAATCGTTGTGATTGATTTGTTGTAAATGTATTCTTTTGACGTAATGTACAATTTACTTTACATATACGTTCAAGTTGAGCATGAATCTATATAAGTTATCAATTATTTTATTACAAAGAAAGAAAGAATAATAAAAATTCTTAGAATTTTTTGATTGTATTTGCTTTTTGCA